AGCCAAATTGGCAGCTGAAAAAAAGAGAGACTTACTCAACAGGCCAACGGAAGTGATTAGGAAAGGCGAAATGGCTCTCTCGGCGAAGAAAGTGAAGAGGAAGAGGGACTGGAGCCGAGATGGAACTAGACAAAAGACTATCTTATGCAAATGCTAACTGGGCTGAGATACACACAGAGATACATCGCATCTAACAGCTGTTTTGTCTGGCTCTGTGATGTAAGGCAGGCCAAAAAAAAACGTATTCCCCGCTCCATCTTCATCTCTTTCACTCTGCTCTTAATTTATGCAAATGCGACAACATTTCTTCGACGGCTTTCTTCAGATGCAAAATACCATATACCACTCATCATGTGGGGTTATATATACATATGCAGTGCAGAAACAATAAAGATTTTGGCAACCTGGGGGTGGCCAAGCCGAACGGTATGCGCTAAAATCTTCACAAAACAGCTTTTACAATAAAAAGCCGAGATGATAGGTACACAAAAACATAACAAATTAGTTTAGCACTTTTGAAAGTTGTCAAGGGGAAGCGGACGTAGCCGTCATACGCCCTGCACACTTAAACAACTCTGACTTTTGCTTTTCTGAAACTCTGAATCGCTGAAACGCTGAAACGCTAAAACTCTGAAACATAAAACTCTTTATAATTGCACTGTAAACATTTCACTTTCGTTTTTATTCCGCCTTTTTGTGCCCTGCGTCTTGGAAATCAGCTTAACACACGACGAACTGTCGTCTCCGCGCGTCGTGCACAGAATAATTTCATCGGTCGCCGCTTTCGCCATCATATTACAATAATTTACAATATGTGGGTGCTTGGAGATGAAGATTGCATCGGGTTTTCTGAGTTGCCTGCGCCTGTCGAGGACTCAATTAGCATCTGTCCAGATTATAACCGCACATTTGCATTAATGAGACGTGCGATTTGGGAAATATTTTTTTTGGGCTTTTTTGGGTTTTCTTCCAAGTCGTGGTGACTGCTGCCGATGACCCCGCGGTTGAACCCGGGGAGCTGACATTTTGGGACATTAAAGCCAGGCTTTATTTTAGTTAGCATTAGTACAACGCCCATAAGCTAAAAACAAAGAATATATTAAACAAACTAATGAAGTCGGAATATCACATCTTTTTAATGAACCTTTTCTTAAAACGAGGATCGTAAATCTACTTCGTTTAAGATTTCTTAACAATTACAAACTACGTAATATATTTGTATAAATCTGCAGTTTTTTTAAATTTTGGTGAGATGTTTCTAGTGCAGTGAAATATCTACGTGCACAGAGATCCCCTTTTTTAGCTTTTATAGGTAAAATAGGATAGAACTAGAAAGATTATGTCGGTTTTGAAGAACCCGAGCCCAAATTTTGTTCAAATAGGTAACGAATATAATAATGTTTAATATTTAATATTACTTATTCATTTTTTACTTATTTTTTTTTAGTAATATTTTAATTCGCAACGTATTTAAGAGTTAAGAAGTTCATTTCTCTTCAATTTTTACTAATAAAACTATTCTGTTCTACTATCCTTACAGATCGAATTCAAAGGCCTCGTATTTGCCGCGCCAGAGTCTGGAGAAGCTGAACAACACAGATCCCGACCATGGCATCTACAAGCTCACCCTGACCTCCAACGAGGACCTGGTGGCGCACACAAAGCCCAGCTACGGGGTGACCGGCAAGCTGCCCAACAATCTGCCAGATGTCCTGCCACTGGGTGTTAAGCTCCAACAGCAGCCGGGAAAATTGCAGCCAGGATCACCGAACGGAGATGCCAATGTGACCCTGCGATATGGCTCTAACAACAATCTGGCCGGAAACTCACCGGGATGTGGGGGTGCCACGCCCCCCTACTACGCCAGTGGGCAGCGGTACTCCACTCCGGTTCTGTGTCATGGATACGGCAAGAGCCCCAAGCCCGTGACCCCGCAGCAATACACGAGATCTCAGTCGTACGATGTGAAGCACACAAGTGCGGTGACCATGCCGCTAATGTCCCAGTCCCACGTGGATCTCAAACAGGCCGCTCACGACCTGGAGACGACGCTGGAGGAGGTGCTGCCCACTGCCACGCCCACACTGACGCCAACGCCCACACCGCCACGCCTCTCGCCGGCCTCCTCGCACTCGGACTGCAGCCTGAGCACCAGCTCCCTGGAGTGCACCATCATCAATCCTATAGCGACACCGATTCCTAAGACCGAGGCGCACATCTTCCGCGCCGAGGTGATCAGCACCACCCTGAACACGAACCAGATGCACCCGACCACACCGCCCAAGCCCGCGATGAACCGCCAGGACTCTTTGCGGGAGAACATCGAGAAGATCACCCAGCTGCAGTCGCAACTCATGTCGGCGCATCTCTGTGAGACGGGCCTACTAGGTGGCTTCACCAGTCCCAGTCCCCTGATAACCAGTCCCACTGCCAGTTTTGTGAATGAACCACTGATGACACCACCACTTCCGCCTAGCCCGCCGCCGCCACTAGAAGATGAGGATGAGGAGGTAGAGCAGATTGGATCTCCCGAGCCCGAGATCAAGGAACTGCAGCTGATGCAGCGCAGCGAACTGGTCCTGATGGTCAACCCCAAGCCCAGCACCACGGACATGGCCTGCCAAACGGACGAACTGGAGGACAGGGACACGGACCTTGAGGCGGCTCGTGAGGAGCATCCGACTAGGACCACTCTGCAGCCACGCCAGCGACAGCCCATCGAACTGGACTACGAGCAGATGAGCCGGGAGCTGGTGAAGCTTCTGCCGCCAGGTGATAAGATCGCCGAAATCCTGACACCAAAGATCTGCAAGCCAACCTCGCAGTACGTGAGCAATCTGTACAATCCGGATGTGCCTCTGCGTCTGGCCAAGAGGGATGTGGGCACCTCGACGCTGATGCGGATGAAGTCCATCACCTCGTCCGCCGAGATCCGAGTGGTCAGTATGGAATTCCAGCTGGGGGAGTCGAGCGAGGAGCCAACGAATTTAATCAAGCAAAAGATGGTGAGTAATTATTAAGCAAAAACCTTTCTTCGATTTTTAAAATCAAGTTCGTTTCAATCTAAAGTTCTCAATATCAAGATAGTAGTTTTTGCGGTTCATAAAAAATATTGATAGTTCCAAATCGCTTCATCGCGAAATTCGAAATAGAAACCACTTTTATCTTGATTTGAAGAAGGTTTCTTCTCGAATAAGTGAGGTGACGAATTCTCTAATCGAGACTATTATACCTTGTCTTTTTCCGATATCAATTTTTCTAATATATGTATCTGGAAATCCTATATAACTTATTTATTTCCCAATTTTACAGGATGAGCTCATAAAGCATTTGAACCAAAAAATTGGCTCCCTGAAGCGTGAGCAGCAGACTATCACCGAGGAGTGCTCGGCCAATGACAAGCTGGGCCAGGATCTCTTCGCCAAGCTGGCGGAGAAGGTCCGTCCCAGCGAGGCCTCCAAGTTCCGCACCTACGTCGACGACGTGGGTCACATCACCAGCTTGCTCCTTTCGCTCTCCGAGCGTTTGGCCCAAACGGAGTGCAGCCTGGAAACGCGCCAGCAGGAAAAGGTGGGTTTCAAATTGATTATGAATCTTAAGAGACATTTTAACTAAAGGTGATTTCTCTATAATCCTTAGGGCGCGCTGGAATCGAAGCGGGATCGGCTGTGCGAGCAGCTGGAGGAGGCGCAACGCCTCAAGGCGGATATAGATCGACGTGGAACCAGCATCGCCGGATTGCTGGGCAAAAACCTCAGTGCGGACATGTGCGCCGACTACGACTACTTCATCAACATGAAGGCCAAACTGATCGCCGATGCTCGCGACCTGGCCGAAAGGATCAAGGGCAGCGAGGAGCAGCTTAGTTCCCTCAGCGATGCGCTAGTCCAAAGCGATTGTTAACCTGGCCAATGGCTTATGGCCGATCGCCAACTTGGCCGATTCGATTCTCCCTGCTGTCAACTCAAAGTTGAGAGCCGATCGAGAGATTTCACAGGATCTGCCAGTCCAGTCCGCAATGTGTATTAGTTTAAAACGATGTGCTTAATTACCACACCCACACTATAATGTATAAATATTGTATGTTCATTTGTGATTTTCAACTAGCTAGTAGGTTAATTATTCTATATATCGGCCGCATAGGTGTAAGCATTTTCTACATAATTATCAAAGCAAAGATAAACTTTATGCATTAATAAAACTATGAAAATTATTGAATTGTCATTTTTCAATGAAGCGAATTGCATATGCACCCCGAAAGTAGGCAATACAATATTGAGTTGCCATTTTCTTCAGGTTGCGATATTGAAGTTAAAGTTTTTTTTTCCTCACTCGGATAAGAAAATTGGAAAATGTTGTATTTGGCATAAAAATTATATTCTGAGTTGAGCGCGAAAGGGTAAACTTCGATTTATATTAAAACTTTGAAAAAATGCATTTGTTTATTGTTCAAAGAATGCTTATATAAATAACAACTTGTAGTGACAATCCTTTGTACTGAAGTTTCTGAAAACCTTTCGTTCGATTTTGGTTAAAAGAGATTTTCGAAAATTTTTGGAATATTTGTGAGTTGCGCTATGGACCCGAATTTTCTTTAAAAATTGCTCATACGACACGTTGGCCTGTTGGCCTAGGTAATGCTTAGAGAACCAAAAATGATTTTTTTGGAGAAATGACTTTTGGTATGCCTTAAATGGCTTAAAATGCACTGTACAAGCGGATAAGAGTTTGATTCCTAAAAATGTGGACCGCCCTAGTCTCCTTGAACATATCTACCGTTGATTTTTTATTAAAATTGGGTTTTAAATAAAATTTGGAAAGGTTTTCCTCGGATCTTCAAACGTAATGCATGGCTCCCATAAATACCACTATTAAGTTACTTAATAATGAATTCGAAAAAATATAAAATCCGTTACATTAATTTTAAAGTAGGTATAATCGATTCTTGCCACTCGATAGTATCGCATACACATCGGCTCTCGTTCCATCTCTGCAGCCGATATGCAAAACAATATTAAAAACATTGGTCAGTTCCAGTCGCACACGTTGCAGTTTTATTGGCATTGGACGAGGTCGAGAAGTGAAAGCAAAGCGCAAGCCCCGAGAATCCCGATTTGTTTGCTATGTTCAGGGTCAGACCGCTCTTCCCCTGGATCCGAAGCTCTCTCACGACCTTGAAACTCCAAACAGATACATCGCCATCCGAATCGGTGCGTCGGAACCTGCGACTCCAGGACATCGGTTTTGATAGTCGTAGTCGTCCTGTGAGCAAGTAGGTGTCGCACGTCTTATCAACCACCTGTTCTAATATTTTTCTTTCGAGCAACGCAGCCAAACATTTAGAGGAATGGCCACCGGGGGAGCAGCATCCAAAGAAGAGGCATCCAAGGTGGAGACATCAAAGGAGGAGCCTCCAAAGCAAGGCAATCGCTTAGTTGCCTCCAAGTCGCCGTATCTTCTGCAGCACGCCCACAACCCAGTTGACTGGTGAGTAGGAAGAAAAGGTCACTTGACCTCAAGTCACGTGTGATAAGAAGTCTGACCCAAAGGCTGCAAAAACAATACAATTGATGTCTCCAACCCGCCAAAACAACTCCCATAACTGTTTTTTTACCCTAAAATTTACATTTTCCAATTTAATTCCGTCTCTTTGTTATTATATAAACGTTTGTGTAACAAGACTGGTAAACATCACCATAAAGTGCTGATCTTATGTGTGCTCTTTTCAGGTATCCCTGGGGCGAGGAGGCTTTCGAGAAGGCCCGCAGCGAGAACAAGCTCATCTTTCTTTCCGTGGGATACTCCACCTGTCACTGGTGCCATGTAATGGAGCACGAATCCTTCGAGAGCCCCGAAACAGCGGCCATTATGAACGAGAACTTTGTAAACATCAAGGTGGATCGGGAGGAGCGTCCGGACATCGACAAGGTCTACATGCAATTCTTGCTGATGACCAAGGGCAGCGGTGGATGGCCAATGAGCGTGTGGCTAACTCCTGACTTGGCTCCAATAGTGGCGGGAACTTACTTCCCCCCGAAATCCCGCTATGGGATGCCCTCCTTCAGCGCCGTTTTGAAATCCATTGCTAAGAAGTGGGAAAACGATAGAGAATCCCTTGTATCGGCCGGATCCACTTTGATCAGTGCTTTGCAGAAGAACCAGGATGCTGCAGCTGTGGCTGATGCAGCATTTGGAGCAGGAAGTGCTATGCAAAAGCTTAGAGAAGGCATCAACGTCCATAAGCAGCGATTCGACCAGACTCATGGAGGTTTTGGATCGGAGCCCAAGTTTCCGGAGGTTCCTCGGCTAAACTTTCTCTTTCATGGCTATCTCGTCACTAAGGATGTGGATGTGCTCGACATGGTGATTGAAACATTGGATCATATTGGAAAGGGTGGCATAAATGACCATATTTTTGGTGGCTTTGCCCGCTACGCCACCACACAGGATTGGCACAACGTCCACTTCGAAAAGATGCTCTATGATCAGGGTCAGCTAATGGCAGCATTTGCTAATGCCTACAAGGTGACCAGGAAAGAAACCTTTCTGGACTACGGAGACAAAATCTACAAGTACTTGGTTAAGGACCTAAGACATCCCTTGGGAGGCTTCTATGCTGGCGAGGATGCCGATTCGCTACCTACCCACGAAGACAAGGTGAAGGTAGAGGGAGCTTTTTACGCCTGGACCTGGGACGAGATTGAAGCTGCCTTCAAGGATCAGGCACAGCGATTTGACGACATTACGCCCGAACGGGCATTTGAGATTTATGCTTTCCACTACGGTCTAAAGCGACCGGGAAATGTTCCAACCTACAGCGATCCCCATGGTCATCTCACTGGCAAGAACATTCTCATCGTGCGAGGATCGGATAAGCAGACCTGCGCCAACTTCAGTTTGGAGGCGGAGAAATTGAAGAAGCTGCTTGCCGCTGCCAATGATGTTCTGCACGTTCTTCGTGATCAGCGTCCGCGCCCGCATCTGGACACCAAAATTATTTGCGCCTGGAATGGCCTAGTCTTGTCGGGACTCTGCAAGATGGGCAATTGCTACTCCGCCAATCGGGAACAGTATATGCAGACAGCCAAGGAACTTCTCGAATTTCTGCGCAAGGAGATGTACGATCCGGAAAAAAAGCTTCTCATCCGTTCTTGCTATGGTGTGGCTGTGGGCGACGAAACTCTGGAGAACAATGAGTAAGTTTACGATCGTATATTTATGCATTTTATAAATGTTTCAGTTATAAAAATTTATTTAAAAATTCCCTGTACGTTTTAGATCCCAAATCGATGGTTTTCTAGATGATTATGCGTTCCTTATCAAGGGCTTGCTGGATTACTACAAGGCTACTCTAGACGTAAGCGCCTTGCACTGGGCAAGGGAGTTGCAGGACACCCAGGATAAGCTTTTCTGGGATGAGCGGAATGGGGCGTACTTCTTCTCGCAGCAGGATTCACCCAACGTTATTGTGCGGCTCAAGGAAGGTAAATGGGATCGGATTTTAGCTTTTAATGTAAAAATGACTGATTTGTTTATTTTTAAAGATCACGACGGGGCCGAGCCTTGTGGTAACAGTGTAGCCGCCCGGAATCTTGTCCTTCTGGGGCATTATTACGACGAGAATACCTATCTCGAGAAGGCCGGACAGCTGTTGAACTTCTTTGCCGACGTATCGCCGTTTGGTCATGCTCTCCCAGAGATGTTGTCCGCTCTGCTGATGCACGAGAACGGACTGGATCTGGTGGCAGTGGTGGGTCCGGATTCTCCAGACACCCAGCGATTTGTAGAAATCTGCCGCAAGTTTTACATCCCGAGCATGATCATTGTGCGTGTGGATCCATCGAATCCGGAAGAGGCCTCTAACCAGCGCTTGCAAACCAAGTTTAAGATGGTCAGTGGGAAAACTACGGTTTACGTTTGCCACGAGCGAGCATGCCGAATGCCAGTTACCGATCCCCAGACGCTGGAGGAGAATCTCACGGCGTATTTCTTCTCGAAACGTGTTTAAACGCTGAGAGTCACTCGAATTAGATTAAGACCATCTAGATGTTATTAACTGTTGTTTTTTTTTTTGCTTCAAAAGCGAAATTGGTTCTCGGAACTGCATAGTCATAAGTAGTCGTTAATAGAGACCCCATTAGACTTGCGACAGAGTCACATTACCCTAGCTTCTTCCATTGTCAAGTCTGAGAGACTTTCGCCTCCTGCATTGCTCCCTAATTGTCTAGAGTTGGTTGAAGTTGCTGAATTAAAAGTGACAGAATACTAAAATAACCTTATATGTCTAAAAATAAAGTTAATAAAGACAGCAGGGTAAACCCTAAAAAAAATTTTGTATTATATAAATATATATTCGGTACATCTACATATTGCATGGGGTTCAGTTATAGAGTTCCATCATAAAATATTCCACAAAAACTTAAAAGGAATAATTAAATTATAATTTAAAAGGAAAAAACACTTTCCACAACAATAGTTTGAATGAAACTAACATCGATTAATCTCTCTTCTCGAATACAACACGTTTTGTGCATTTATTGGAATCGTTCTGTTCGTGGAGCAATCCACCAGTGGGTGGTCGGCTGCACCTGTTCCGCCCCAGAGGCGTAGGCGTAAAACTAGGCTTTAAACTAAATGCGTGCCCTGCGCTGCGTCCGCGATCCGCAACCAAACCCGATCGATTATGGGAATGGAGCCGGGATCCCGGAGGCCACGGCAATCGGCGTAGAAGGAAACTAAACGTATGGAGAGAACAGCTCGGTAATCGGTAATAATAATCGTAATAATAGTAGTTTGTAGCAATTAAAATAATTTAGTTGAAATTCACATTCATCACATTGGTTGGCCGACCATCTGCCATGCCTCATCCTCAACTGTTGCCGTCGTCGTCGTCTTTGTCGTCGTCGTGGCCTCTGCCTCTCAGGTGTCTGCATCGTTGAAGCTCATGGCCGCATCGAAGCTATCCACTATGGTCTCCATGCGCTCATGGTGCTCAAATCGGGCGAACTTCCGCGCGAATTTCCTGCTGGACCGCGAAGTGCTGTACCTTCGCGAGTAGCGCGCTCGCCGGAAGAACCGGAATCGCGTGTCCTCCTCCTCCTCGTCGTACTCTGGCGCCGACACCGAATCCTCGTCCGTCTCACGCAGAAACTCCTTGGGATCACGATGGATCTTAAAGATCTTGGTGGCCGTCGCCCCATTTAACTTCGATATGGTGCGCGAGGCATTGAGGATTCCACTGGAATTCGAAATAGAACTACTGCGGTTCTTGATGGCCGTCAGTCGGTTCGTGATCGACACCACGTTGAACAACTTGGACAACTCCGAGTCGACGCAGCGCGATTCGCGACGCAGGTTCTTGCCGTTCTTCACGTAGATGAAGTGGTTTAAGGGGCTCTGGCTCAGGCTCTGGCCATCTAAAGGATGGCTTCCGATGGAGCAGGTGGGCGAAATGGAGACGGATACGGAGGTGCTGCTGCCGCCGCCCCCGTTGGTCAGCAGAGTGGGCGTGGAGGGCGGCGCTGGAGGTGGCACATGCGGCATTGTGTAGCAGCGCTGTCGGCCCGAGGTCAGAGAAGACCCCCCACCCGTTGGGCCGTCGTACAGGTTGGTCACGTTGTAGCGGCTCAGGCGGCACAGCGACGTGGACTCCGGCTCCAGTTCCGCCTCCGGATCGTGGCTGGTGGGCATGTCCATGGCCTGTGCGAGTGTGTGAGTGTGTGTTCGTGGTTTTTGGCCAGGTTTTTCGAGTGGGCGGAGAGTGGAGAGCGGAGTGGTGCGGTGCGGTGTTGTGCGACGGGGCGAAAAGAAAGGGCGTTGTAGCCGTCTGTGGATTAACCGGAATCGGCGCCGGACGCAGTGCGTCCACTCACCTGCAGCAAGCCTTCGACCTCCATGTACTGGCTGTCGGTGGTGAGACGGTGTGTTTTGTGCATCAGTTGTTGATATCAGGTATATTGATTAGGAAATATTATTGTTCAAATAGAGTGACCGTTCACGAAGCAGCTCAACGTGGGGCTAGCGCCAACTAACGCAAAATGCCTGGTCTACTTGTTCGATATTCAAAACAAATTCGTGTTTAGAGTTGCCTATGCCAAATCTATGTTAAAAAAACAGAGCTAATCCTATAACTCTTTAAATAACTTTTAACATTCCATTAATTTAAGGAACAACATTGTTAAGAGTCGACAGGAAACAAGTGTATAATAAAGATGTCAACCCCTCTAAAGAAAATCCCAACCTTTGTTTAATTTGGGGCCGGAGACTTTTAATAATTTGTTAAATACTTTCAAATTCATTAAAACAAATAATAAAATATAGAATGAAAATACTGGATCTGGTATTAAGCAACATTGTGTCACGGCTGTCACTTCCGCCGGAATGGAGTCTATCGATAACTTGTTTATGTTTTGTTTTGCTAATACCTATTATTCCCATTTTTATGGGGTATATTTAATTTGCCAATAGTTTTGTAACACTACACATTATTTAAAAATGCATTTTTCGGCTATTTTATATGAGGCAATGGTAAAAACGATACCTGAAAATTTAGATGTGATTTCTTTGATCCTAACCCTTTTTTTCTATAAATGAATGGATTTCCTGTAAAAAATATTCCCATTCCCCCCAATAAATAAAAACATTCAATAGTTTTGTGGGTTTTGTAGTTTTTGTGGTTTACTGTTTTCTGGATTCAGTCTTTCATGTTGAATTGTGTAATTTGGTTATGCGGTATACGCAGCCACTTGCGGTCATCAATAGGCCCCACGCTTGTTTTCCTTGTGAGGATCGCGGGCCAAACTGTCGATGTGCTTGTGGCCAAGTCTCCAGATGATGGCGCACGGTTCAAGTTTGGCCACCATGTTCCGGAAGAGTTCCTGTTCCGGGTCGGATGGCTATACGCGCCTATGTCATCTGCACAAGAGGCTGGTTTTGCATGGTGGGGGGCGGGGGGAGTCGGTGCCAGCTGGAGGGGCGTGGCAGTGACGAGACCCAGCCCCTGGTTTTTTTTTTGTTGGGTAATGGCGTGCCTAAAGCTTGTCGCGGAATCGCAGGGGTGAAATGTTAAACAGCCCTACACCCGTGAAACCGAATGGGACAATTTGACGTGCCAACCGCACGGACGGCGATTCGGGAGCCATCGTAGTGCTATGTATCGATTAGATTTTGACGAAAGTCAAATGGTTGGTTTTTGAATTTCCGAGGAAATTCTGGTTTTGCCCGTTTCACGCCCACTGTAGCTCCACTCGCACCAGAGACATAGCGAAGGGCTACGACTTCCGCAACCGGAAGCAGCCGAAGCTGCAACCGGAAATGGGAGTAGCCGCCCCTCGGGGCTGCCAATGTCACGTGCAAAAGGATCTAAGTGGGCGATCACCGGGCGGGGGGTTTTTGCCAGCTTCACAAAGGACCAGCATCAGTCGAAAAAGCAGCGAACAAAGGTGGCCAAAGCGATATATAATCCGTACATTTTTCAATATACTGATCATAAATCTCTTCTGGCCACTATCGCTTTTCTTTCGCTGAGCGGCACAAAGTGGAGCCGACGGTTTTGAGAATTATCGGGCATTGGGGGCGACTGAAGATCAAGCAACATCCGTTCGGAGTCGCAATGTCAAAACAAAAATTTCAAACTCGAGGCGGTGCCTCTGGTTTGAAACTTAATGTTCCTCCATTGCGAATAACCGATTTTTCGGACGAAATGCCTGATATTCAGCCGCCCCCACCCAATAGTTCTCGAAGCGCTTCTTGTTCAAGTTGTAAATACAAAAGTTCAATGTTGCAATTTAAATAATTGCTGATCAAATGCTGGCGTTCTGTGCCAAAATAGCCGACTGGGCGGCGTGAAATATTAAAAAAGTAGAGCCGTTCTCGAGGTAATACGAAGAGTAATACAAACAGCGTGATTTTACGGGTTTTAGAAGCTGATCGAGGCTTACCGGCACGCCCATTGCCAGTGAGTTGGAGGAGATTGAGATTGCAGGCGTGTTGTTGCTGCCGTGCATGTTGCTGCTGGTGGTGTTGCTGCCGTACATGTTGCTCCCTCTCTCTTCGGATGTTGGGCTCTCGCTGACGTCGAACGGCCAGTGTGGCCACGAAAAGTTCTGGATTCTTTTGGTGGTGTGGGGGCGGAACCACCGGTGGTGATGTCATGTGGTGGCCGCCGCCCCCGAGTTGTGTGTGGGTTTGTATGGCCACCTACTCCTCCTGATTCTCCTCCTGCCGATCCTTCTGGCGCTTGCGGCAATTGTCGAAGGTGTGGCCCCTGAAGCTGCAGTAGCTGCAGCGGTTGGTTCGCTTGGAGCCACGAGTATTCTTCGATGCGGCGGCCAGATCCTCATCCTCCTGGTTATTGTGCTCAATGATGCGGCCCTGCTCCAGGAGGTCCTTGAAGGACTGGACACTCTGGCGGGCGATGTGCTTGCGGTACTTGATATTCAGCAGGCCGTACAGCAGATCCAGCTCCGTCTCCTCGTCGTGGCGATCGCTGGGCAGCTGGGCCAGCAGCGCCCGCTTGTGGACCACAAAGGTGTCGATGTGGTCGTGGTCCTCCTGCTTCTTCTGGAAGAACTCCATGTACACCTGATAGGCGGGCTTCGTGGGCGAGAAGTGTTCGCGGATGAGGGCGATGGCCTCGTTCCAGGTGGTGGCCTCCTTGCGGACGCCCTGCCACCAGGTGCTCGCCAGCCCGTAGAACAGCAGCGAGATCCCCTTAAGGGCGTTCTCATCGCTGATGCTCTCCAGCTCTTTGTAGATCATGATGTTGGTGATGAACTCCTCGACCACGTCGTGATCGCGGGTGCCGCCGAAGTTGTGTGTGCACGCAGCGAAGCTGCCCTTGACCTTGGCACCCTGGGCATCTGCTCCGCCGGCTGCTGCTGCATTTCCGGCGGCATTAGTGGCGGCCAAACGCACCGCTTCGATCAGCGCATGGAGCTGCTCGTTGGTCATGGTTACGGGCTCACCCATTTTGCGTTGGATTTCTGTGAGGTTAGGTGACAAAACTCCTGGGGTTCAGGCGGCGGACAAAGCCAGTGTAGCGAATGCGGCCGTTGAGTTGAACTGAGGAGCTCTCTCTTATGTGGGGCCTTTTATACCCGCCGGTTGTGAAATCGAGCCAAAGTGAGAGAGGAGCAGCCCCCAAGAGCGCGCATGGCCTGTGTTTTTGCTATTATCGCCCAGTGAATCATCGCTGCCATATAATAGTATCAGTTTGAAAGCCGGTAACTAGCCCCGAAAATGGTAAGCAAACCTGGTTATAAATATGTTCCATCTGATTTTTTCCTCAGAAAATTGTTTAACTCCTTAGGTAAATCTTCC